CTAGCGTGTTACTGTGTGACAAGACCAGTGGCTTCCTGGGACTCGGCAGAGGAGATGACGCTCCTTATGTCTGGGTCTCTCCCAGTACTCGTCTTTGCATCTCAAGTTGCTACGTAAGCAGGCAAAGGGCCACACAGGTGTTCGGCGACAGCCCAGTGAGGCTTCAACAGCTGGCACGAACTGCCAGAGAGACGAGCCACAAAGCCCCCAGATGGCTTTAGTCCCAAGTTGTTGCATCACCCCAGCTTTTGAGTCTCCCCAGCTGAGGCCGCCAACGCTGTGGAGTGACAAGCCTTGCCTGCCTTCTGTCCAAAGTCTTGACTTCCAGAGGTTGTGAACAGAAAAAGTAGTTGTTTTAAGCTGCTAAGCTTTGGGGTAGTTTGTCACACAGCCACAGGTAACAGCTAGGTTATTCCTCTGTCCACTCATTCCTCTGCTCTGTCTTCCGGAATGTTCTGGTCATCATTTGTTAGCTTTCTTGTTTTCTTTGTCCTTTCGATTGTTTTTTGATTCTGTTACTGTTGTTTTAGGAACTCTGGCAGATAAGAGAGAAACACCCACTCTTCTCACCGGGCTTCAGAGAACGACTTTGCCATGTGTCTCCTATCCCATGTCTCCATCTTCAGGGTGGGGTCTGAGTTAGCGTTCCTGCGCGGGAGTGTGTGTGCACGAGACCAGCACGTGGCATTGTTGGGGAAGAGAAGCGTGACCTCTGTGTGAGAACAGTGTCACGCTTACCGTCAGCTACGCCTAGGGACTTTCAAGGTGAGGAGCCGGAGAGAAACATTTCCCTCCCCCCAGTCCTTGACTCCTGCTGTCTGCTCCGCTTTCCTGCTGACACCCGGGGGGCCTCCTTCATGCGTGGACAACTCCCGCGGCTCCATCTCCTCTGTCTGCTTCCTCTCTGGACTGCGAGCGTCAAAGCCAAGCATTTGGGCCCTTTGCTGTCTCTGCTGCTGCCGCTGCCCGCCGTGTACCTCATATTCTGAGCAAAGGGTGCCATTTGTACGGCTTCTCTTCCCGTAGGCGTATGCTGAGTTTGCGTGCACATGTGCACACTTGCAGGAGTGTGCAGTATGTGGCTTGGTTTGCCTTTTGATTTTTGTTCAGGTTTTAGTTCTAGAGGTATTGTTGTGGCCCTTTGGTCTTTATCCTATCGTCTCCTTCATAAACAGGAGTTACAGCCTCCTCAGTGTGGCCCTGAGGGTCCCAGACACATTCTGAGGGTGGCTGGGCTGGGCAGGAGAGTGAGGGGCACCTGGGTCCCTGATAGCTTCACGGAGCAAAAGTGCCTGCTTGGGATGGCCTTGCCTCGGGCAAACAGCCCTTGTCTTAAAGGAGGGTTTCCCAAGTGTCTTACAGCACAGTTCAACACTGCCTCCACTTGCACTGTGTGTGGCTTTGACCTGTACCTGTCCTCCTGGGTCAGAGAACAGATCCTTTGAGTCGATGCTACTGTACTTTTGCCCTGTGTTTATCTGGGTCACCTCCAGCTGACACTGCTACCCCGTCAGTCCAAGTTCAAGTCCGTACGTGTTGAGTGGACACCAGGGTAAGGAGGCTAGCAGCCCCGTCGGGCCACTGTGGGAGGCTGAAGCCTGTGGCCTTTCTCTGGCACAAGGCAGAGTCGGAGAAGGGCCAGGGTGAGGAGCAGGGCCGTGGGAACATGGAGGAGAAAGAGCTCCGACAGGTGTCGTGAGGGAATTGTGGGCATGACTCAGCAGAGGGGGAGGGCTGCGGGGCAAGCGAGTGGATGGACTCGGTGGGGGAAGGGCTGCCTGGGCAGCAGGGGCAGCGGGAGCGTGGTGGGGGGCACGGGAAACCTGTGTGTGGGGCCAGTGGGAGGGAGCAGCTGGAGAGGAAGTTGAGGCTGCCTCCTGGAGGACACAGACCGCCCAGGTACCAGGCAGTGGACATCATGGAACAGCGCTAACCAGTAACCAGCTTCCATGGGCTTAACCTTCCCTGCAGCCCATCAAGACACACTGCTCCCTGGGAGCAGAGACACTAGAATTCTTCACGTTAGCATGTGAACAAAAAGCAAGTGTTAATATTTAGCTTGTGAAATTCAAAATAGCATTTAGCAGCAAGACAATAGGCTTGGAAGCCAAGTTTCGTCCTAAAAGGAGAACTCTGTGAATTCCTGTAAGAGGCTGCAACAGAGCCCAGAGCCCTGAACCACAGATTTCCACAGCAAAGCCCCAGAGACGCCCCCTCCCCTTGCTTATGTGGGTCTGCAGGCTGGCACTCACGTGGACCAGGGCTGTCCCCTGAGCTGGGGGGCCCCTGCTGTCTGACAGGCGGCTGTGGCCCTCGACTGGGAGCACCTGGACATAAGCAATTTCATGGGGCTTGAGCCAAATGTAACGAGGCCCCCAGGGCAGATCTCAGGTTCGAGGGCTGGGAGATGCCCCACCTGGCACCGCCTCCGGAAAGCAGCCTGAGGCGGGAGGGTTGTCACCTCGGGACCCACGGCCTGGTGGTGGTGGTGGGGTGTTCACCTTCCAGGTGCAGCCTGAGGGCCAGTGGTCAGGGTACAAGGGGCAGAGGTCAGCTGCCACCCCCACTCCCCCCCCCTCACGGCCCCAGTTTGGGCTGTTTTCCACAAATCAGCTACTTTTGTCCGCGTGCCTTTTCTAACGGTGAGCAGCCTAGGGGAGAGTGACAGCGCCGACAATGCATGTGGTTGTGCAGATTGACTTCCCCATGAGTCTAGAAACGCCAGGTGGGGGAGCTTGAGGGGCCTGAGCACGCGTGCTGTCACCGCAAGGCAGGGAAAGGACCCCGCGAGCTGGTGTGGGGACCCCTTCCCGCTCCGCCCACCCTCGCGGCTGTGGGAGAGGGTGGAGTCGGGGAGCAGCCCTTGAAGCCTGCGCAGTTGGAGGACGGGCCGAGTCCCTGGGAGGTTCCGGCTGAGCAGGCTGAGCCCTGAAACCTCTTGGAGACGCCATTGGAGACGGCAGGGTCAACGCTGACTGCGTCACCAGGCTGCTCCGGCACCTGGCAGCGCAATGTCCATCTCACGGGAGGAGGCAGCCACGCTTCCTGCTCACGTCTGAGTGCAGGTGAGGCGCGTGGGCCTCACCTCGCAGGCCGGGGGGCTTCAGACAACCGCAGGGGCCTCCGCGGCTCCATGCGCGTGCACCGGCCTCCCTCTGCTCACCTGATCCCGGCTCTTCCCCGATGGATGCACGCTGCTCTTGGGACAAGAGTCCCGCCTCTGTGCCCTCAACGACCCCCAGTGAAATCTCTTTTTAATGGAAAATGTGAGAGTTCACATCAGGAAACAGTTGGGGGATTTCGCTAAGCTCTCAAATAATCTGGCCTAATGAACATGCTCTTTAGAATTTTTGTTTCCATCCACACTATTTATCTTCTTTCCGTAAGCCCTAAAGGATACAAAAATAGGTTAGGTAACAGAATGGTGATAAATCCCCTTACATAAAGGGGCTATAAAGAGATTGTTTTTAAAGCGCTGGCATTGAGACGTCACCAGAAACCTCCCGGGAAGTCTGCAGAAGCGGTTTTGGGGCTGGCGTGTGATGCGTGAATTCTAACGCTGCTTCCCGCGTCCCATGGAAGGATCACTTTACAGAAGTAAAGCTGGAGATGTTGCATGGCTGTTCCCAACGTGAGCTGATTCTCAGCAGAGGCACACTGAAGTCCCCGTCCCATGTGACCCTTGGGAGGTCTGGGGTGTCTGTGAGGGGAGGCGCCCCTCGCTGGCCGTGCCCTGTGCCCTGGCCACCTCCACCATGGCCTTCCCCTCTGCCTGGACCCAGCATCCTCACGCCTCTGCCTGGCTCGCTTCCCTCTCTCCAGGGAGCTTCCTAATATGGGTCCTTCATTTGGAAACCGGCTCTATCACATAATGTCTGGGGGTCCCATGATAACTCTGCTTTCTGATTTACACGGAATTTTTTTAGTCTTAAAAAAGGGAAAATCTCAGTTAAGATGCTCAAGCTTGAAATACATAAAAAAATGACTGTTACTCAGTAAAGTTAGAGCTTCTTTACTGGTTTTTGTCTGAAGGGCACCGTGGAAATCCAAGTGTTGTGAGGAACAGCTGGTGTCCGGATGGTGGTTAAGTCGGGGCTGACGCCACTTCCCTTGGAAATGAGCAACCCGGGCCGTTGTGCTGGAGTCCTTGCCCATGATGCCACCGCTGCTGGCCGTCTGCCTGCCTCGTTTGTCTCCTGGTCACCGTCGGCTGGGGGACACGGCAGTGCTGCCGTTTTAGGGGAGGGTCCTGGGCTGCGACAGCGCAGGTGAGATAAGCGGTTAGACCCCCCACTGACTACAGAGCTCTTCTTCATCCTGGTGTTCTAATCTCTGAATCGGGAAGGAGCGACACGTCCTTAATTTACATGAACTGTAAGCCCTTTCTGTTCCTCTGTGGAGACGGGAGGGATCAGGGCTTCAGATGGGAGTTGTTGCATGTGGACTTGAGTCCTTGGTAAACGCGATCCCCCAGCACCGCAGAAGCAGCCCTCAGCAGCGTCCCCGGGGAGCAGTGATGGCTGTGCACACCTGGGGTAATTACAGGGTCTTTGCAAAGCGGCTTGGAGGCAGACGCGCCATGTAAGTGCCAAGTAGTCCAGGGTGTCCTGGGAAGAGGGGCAGCAGCCCGACGGCCGCTCCCTGCTTCCATCGGTGTGGGCGAAGTCACCTGTGACACTTCTGTGGGGGACTCTGTCCTCTCACCACAGTGGAGCTAGTTCCCGCCAGGTCGGGGCAGTGCGCGCTGGCAAAGCTTGTGCAGTTTCCAGAGAAAAAAGGCCTGGCGCATGCTGTTGGTGCGGGAGGCACCCAGTCAGCTTCTGCTGGATTTATCTCACCGTGGGTTTCAGGCCCCTTTACCCTTGTGCTTTGGCTTTTCCCAGCACTAGATGGCGCCACCTCACCATGCAGAAGGCTGGCAGGAGCGGTGCTATGAGTCTGATTTTGTGATTAGCCAACAGGGTCTATAATTGGAGGCCCTGCATTCGGTTCTGTAGGAAATGGCGCCTTTGTATCCTGGGCGTGAGATTGGGGCCTACGGTGTCACTTTATCTCCTCAGGAGGCAAGTTCGCCTTCCTCTGCTCCTGCTGTTGAGAAAGGGCAGGGTCCCTGTCGCAGTGGGTGGCGTGGGTAACGGGCTGTGCTGGCACCAGCCCTGCCGCCGCTGGCTCTCATGTCACACGGCAGTCAGAGGGCAGCTTGAGAAATGAGGGCGCAGGACCGCCTTCTCCCCAGGAGAACAGGCTCTGGCCCTTCCTTCCCTGACAGCTGATGATGGATGGATTTTCATTAGACACACGCACTGGTTTTCTCTTAAAAGTGGGAAGTTCCCATACCGGGCTACAGTGTTCCTATGCCAGTTAACCAGAGTCTGTCATGATCCAAACTGTGACTGGTTTTGGAGAGAATTGAATGGTGAAACCTTAAAGGAATGTACATGAGCAGTTTCCAGTAGACGAGATTCCTGGCTTCACGGCCAACAGAATCCCCTTTGTGGGGACCCAGAACCCTCCTCACGATTTTCCTGGCTCATGGATGCATGGCTGGGAGCTGCTTGGTGTTTAAAACTTCCAGCAGGGTCCTTTAAAGAGCCCCATGGGGAAGGAAGGCGGTGCCTCCCAGCGTGGAGGCCTCATGGACTGGAAGTTGCAAAGTTCAAGAACTTGGGCCGGCCTCTGGTGAGGGCCTGCAGCAGGTGTGCAGGCTCAGGCTTCTCCTGCTCCCTCACAGCCACTAACTCAGGGCTCTCCCACCATCATGACCTCATCTAATGTTGACTGCCCACCAAAGACTCCCCTCCAAACACCACTGCTATGATTTTGGAGACTATGTCACACATATGAACTTTGTGAGCCACATTCAAATAGCAGTCTCCATCTCCATCATCTTTATCACTGTCTCCATCATCTCCATCTCCAGCTCATTATCTCCATCTCCATCATCTCTATCTCTCTCCCCATCTCTATCATCTCCATCATCTCTATAATCTCTGTCTCCATCATCTCCATGATCTCCATCTCCATCTCATCATCTCCATCTCCGTCTCCATCATCTCCGTCTCCATCATCTCCATCTCCATCATCTCCATCTCCATCATCTCCATCTCCATCTCCGTCTCCATCATCTCCGTCTCCATCATCTCCATCATCTCCATCTCCATCATCTCCATCATCTCCATCTCCATCATCTCCATCATCTCCGTCTCCATCATCTCCATCTCCATCCCCATCATCTCCATCTCCATCATCTCCATCCCCATCATCTCCATCTCCATCATCTCCATCATCTCCATCTCCATCATCTCCATCTCCATCATCTCCATCTCCGTCTCCATCATCTCCATCTCCATCATCTCCATCATCTCCATCTCCATCATCTCCATCTCCATCATCTCCATCTCCGTCTCCATCATCTCCATCTCCATAATATCCATGATCTCCATCATCTCTGTCTCCATCATCTCCATGATCTCCATTTCCATCTCATCATCTCCATCTGCAACTTCTCCATCTCCAACTTCTCCATCTCCATCTCCATCATCTCCGTCTCCATCATCTCTGTCATCTCCATCTCCTAATGCTTTATTAAGACAGTCTGTGGCTATGCTCAAAGGAAACAGAAAGGAGAAATTTAGAGCAGAAGTGAGAGAGATTACTCGGGAGAACGGAAGCGACCTGATCCAAGTGGAGGAACCAGCCCGGGGAAATGCTAGCTCTCCAGTCCACAAACCGTGGGCCAGGCTGCTGCCCAGGGCCTGGCCTGCGGTGCTTCCAGTGTTGGAGGGAAACGGAGCTGCATCTGTCAGACATCAGTGTTGCCGTCAGATAGTATGACATTCCTTTCAGTGACATCATACTTCGCACAGCAGGCTTTCTGGGGCTTGACGGGATAGAGGGGTGCTGTGGACAGTGGGTGTGGAATGCGCCAGCAGAGCAAGGCCCCACCTGACCGCAATGGGGGAGGGGTCATGCGGGCCGCAGGTGGCACTTCGGCAGGGACTTCAAAAGGTCAGTGGGAAATCTGACTTCAAGGCGAGATTACTTTGTGCACAACGTTTTTGAAATCTGTGTTTTTCATCATATACGTTTTCAGGAACTTTTTGAACACGTTTGGAACACATTTGTAAGTACTCAAGGCTTTTTTAAAAAAGTGTAACTTTTAAGTTTATGTGTACCATGTTTTCAGACGGCCACCACATCCTTTAGGACATAACACTACGTTTTACTAAAAGAAGCCGGTAGGGACTTACTTGGGCCGGGTGGTCATGAAAAGGTTACTGAGATGCGATGACATGGTGCCAGCTTGGAGCATTTGGGAACTTCCGGTCTAACCTGTGCTGGCTGCCTGGCGTTCCCCGAGGGCGGCCGGTGGAGCCTGTGCTCGCGGGGTCTGTGCAGGGAGGCGCCCTCACCTTCCTCCGCGCCCTGCACCCTCGCCCTGCCCATAGCGCAACTGCCCGCGCCTCACTCTGTTTTGCGTGGTCCGTCAGGTACCTCACCTGCTTCAAGGTTAAGGCTAGAGTTAGTTTGTTATATTCGAAAAGCAGAGAGACAGGCACAGAGAGATCTGCCGTGATGGTTCATGTCTTAAATACTTGGAGCAGCCAGGGGTGTACCAGGCCAAGGCTGGGAGCCAGAACTTTTTTTTTTTGACAGGCAGAGTGGACAGTGAGAGAGAGAGAGACAGAGAGAAAGGTCTTCCTTTGCCGTTGGTTTACCCTCCAATGGCCGCCGCGGCGGGCGTGCTGCTGCAGGCGCATTGCACTGATCCGAAGGCAAGACTTCTCCTGGTCTCCCATGGGGTGCAGGGCCCAAGGACTTCGGCCATCCTCCACTGCACTCCTGGGCCATTGCAGAGAGCTGGGCTGGAAGAGGGGCAACTGGGACAGAATCCGGCACCCCGACCGGGACTAGAACCCGGTGTGCCGGCGCCGCAAGGCGGAGGATTAGCCTAGTGAGCCACGGCGCCGGCCTGGGAGCCAGAACTTAATCCAGCTCTCCCAACTATTCGCACCATCATCCGCTGCCTCGAAGAGCTGCGTCAGCAGAAAGCTGGGATTAGAGGTGGAGTGGGGGCTCGAACCTGGGCACTCTGATCCGAGTCGGGGCATCCTAAGCAGTCTTAACCTCTGTGGCCAAGCGCCCACCCTGGATATTTATTGTTTGTGTTGTTTATTGTGTGTTCTGCTGAGTAGTACAGGTCTGGGCTCGTGCATTACAGACTCAGAGACAGTGCCTGGCACACAGCCCTCTTGGTGATTATTTGTTCATTGTCCTGGGTATCTCGAGCCTGGTAAGTACACGTTTTTATGTATCTTTGTTGTATGAAGTTACACTGAAGAAAGTAACTTAGGAGCTCTTTCTTGCTCGGGATTTTGGGGATTGCTAAGATGGAAGAACCGTTAACTGTCATTTTTGTTGGTGTCACTGTGCTTAAATATGTTCTTGTGTCTTTGCATCATGGCGTGAGCTAGTGAATGGGCCAAGGACCCTGTTCCTGCTCTTCCTGGTTATCCATTCTTTAAGAGGAGTCCCACGGTTTCCAAGAGCTATGCTTGCTGAATTCCTTTAATTCCATCCATCAGCTCATTCCCTAAATGACTGAAATGGCCAGGGCTGGGCCAGGCTGGAGCCAGGAGTCAGGAACTCCATCCAGCTCTCCCATGTGGGTGGCAGGGGCCTGAGTACTTGGCCATCTTCTGCTTTCCTAGATGTGTTAGCCCTGGAGCTGGACAGGAAGTGGGACAGCAGGGACTCGAACAGTTTAACCCACTGTGCCACAACACCGGCCCCTAGTCAGTATCTTAAAACCAAGGATAGGGATGGTCATTTTGGCATTAGAGAGAGGGCTCCAGCTCTCCAAGAGAGAGAGCTCCTTCCACAGCTCTCCACAGAACATGCATAGCTCCGTGGTCTTGATAAATCCACTAATTATAAAAGCAAACTATAGAAATTAAAGAAAAATAACAAATATTGATGTCAGGGAATCTACTATTTTTACAGTGAATACATAGTTTATATAAAAAAGAAGAGGGGATGTTATTAGTAAGGAAATTGACCTATGAGAAGACACGTGGAGCTATCCGGGGAGAAGGAGGAGGAGGAAGCCGGATCACGGTGAGGATTCGCGGGGAGGAGTGCGAGCATGTTTTTCTCCAGGCCTCGTGAGCATCGTAAGTCCATGGAAACAGGAGTTTCTTTTGTTTTGGTGAAAAAGAACTGTGTGGGGCGTCACCCGAGTGCACATTTGCATTTATAAAAAGCTGTAAAAATTCCAGTAAAACCTTGTCTTTACCCTCGCTCTCCCACAGGTTTCACTGCACGGGGGTCAGCACTGCAGCCACAGGAGCCCACGACAGGTGGTCACCGAGCAGCGCAGGGCGCAGGCGCTGCAGCGAACGGACGGCGCAGAGATGTGGCCTGTGCCCCGTGAGGCCGCGGGGACCGTGTAGCGAACACAGGCACTTGCACGTGGCCAGGCCCCGCCGAGCCGCTCCCAGGCAGCCTCAGTCCAGACGCGGGCTCCTGTCCTGTCTCCAGTTCTCGCGAGGGACCCCCTACTCTTTGGACACCACAGATCGACTCATCTGTAAATGCAAATCCTAGCAGAATGTACAGCCAGTTTTTATGATGTTTCTTATTTTATAGGCTCATAAAAGCAACTTTAATGCTTTATGTTAGGTTGAACCATAAAATGATCCTTTTTGTAGGTCGAGATGGTTGAATATTGGCAATTTTGTGTAATTTGGTCCCATTCTGTTAGTGGGCTCCATAGCTTTGGCTAAAGCCGTGCTAGTGGCTGTGATGCCACTGAGACATGAGGTAGTTTCTGACGGGGGGATTCAGGCTTTTGTCTCCATTTCCACGAGATCTGTGGTCTGGAGAAGGCGGGGTGGGAGGGAGCCACTTGCTCCTCTGCTCCCCGAGACCCAGGTCACCGTTTGGAGAACGTGCGCCTGTGGGCAGGAGGCCTCTGGTCATAAATGTGTTGCACTTCTACTCCCAGAGAAGAACACACGGGATCCTGGCCCGGGACCCTTCGTTCCCCTCGTCCTGGAGGGAGCTGTGAGGCCGTGTCGATGGGTTCCCCCCGGGCCTGCCTGCCTGCAGGATGGGTTTTGCTGACTCCTTATTAATTTTCCAGAGGAGCAGTCCCAGATCTCCACAGCTCTGCCTTGCCCTGTCAGGTGATGACCCCTAAAGGTTCTGGAAAGTTCTGGATAAAGTGGTCAAAGGACGCTGGGCTGGTCCCAGCCAGAGGTTTATGTTCATATCAGTGTAGGTGAGGCAAAAGCATCTCATTTAAAATTTTTTAAAAATTTACTTGAGGGGTAAGTCACAGACAGAGAGAGGGAGAGAGAGAGAGAGGGGTCTTGCATCTGCTGGTTCACTCCCCAGCTGGCCACATTGGCCGGAGCTGCACTGATCCGAAGCCAGGAGCCAAGAAACTTCTTCCTGGTCTCCCATGCAGGTGCAGGGGCCCAAGCACTTGGGCCATCCTCCACTGCTTTCCCAGGCCACAGCAGAGAGCTGGACTGGAAGTGGAGCAGCCAGGTCTCGAACTGGTGCCCACAGGGGATGCTGGCACTGCAGGCAGCGGCTTTTCCGGCTGTGCCACAGAGCCGGCCCCTCAGTTTTCTCATATGGGCCACGTGGTCTCTTGTTTCAGCAGCAGGCGTGCACCTCAGTGCAGCTTTCCAGCTCCTGGCAAGCGTGTGTGGCTCGTCACCGCTGTTGTCACAGCCGCCTGGGGCTCACCCATTCTGGCCTCCGGGCAGCACCGTCTCCGCCCTCTTCACAGTTCCCAGAGGGGATTCTAGACAGGTGTCCAGCCGGCGGAACCACAGCGCGGGTCTTCTGTGAGCTCGGGCGTTTGCAGTGAGAGCCCTGTGGTGGCCCTGACTCGGCAAAGGCAGGGCTGAGCCCCTCAGTGCTGGCAGGTTCCGGGTGACCTCTCGTGAGTCGTCTGCTTGCGTCCTTACGCTGACCTCAAGAAGTGGACTCTGCAAGTGCTCTGTCCCTTGGCTACACAGGAGGTCGAGCACCTTGTTTGAGAGTATCGCACCCTCATTCTGTTCTTCCACCTGAGAGGCGGGCCTCTGGGGGCTGGGTCCCCTTCTTAAACACTCCCCTCCGCAGGTCTACACCACGTGTGGTTAGGACGGAGTGGACACTGTTGGGTCGCACCGGATGAGGGCAGGCACAGCACTGAGAAGAGGACACCCGTGGTGCTACTGTTGCAGTTCTGAATCTGGGCCGATCCTGCCGCACAGCCCTGCCGCGGGGCCTGGCGGGGAAGTGGTGCAGAATCGTTTCCTCACTTCACCACTGTTCTTCCAGATCCCCTGAACTCTTGCCCCCGGGAGTGGGCACCTGGACAACATGTGCTGAATGGGTGAGTGAGTGCGCGTGGAAGGCGGCGTGACAGGTGCACTGCTCTGTGCCCTGAGCACACCGGCTCTGTGACACCTCCTGGGTGTCTCCTGCGCCTTCCGTCCTCGGCCTCCACCTGAACTGCCCCGCCGGTGCCGTCTCCACCAAATGTCGCCTGCTCTTGGGTGACTTGTCCCACGGCCACCGTTTCGCAGAGGGGCCTCACAGCGCAACCTTCTGTCCTTTGGCGGCCAGTGTGTTTTCCTTGTGTCGCCATCAAGCACATACGTGACGTCTTCCTCTTCAGAACTCAAGGTCTCTGAGAGCCTACCCTGCTGCGTTCCTCTTTGTACCTCGGACGCTGCCACATTTAGCAGACGTCGCACAGGCTCACTTCTCAGCCTGTTTTGTGCAGTGAAGTGTTCTTTCTGTATCGTAATACCGATAGTCAAAATTCCCATCTTTCACAAAACTTTTATCTTTTTTTGAAGATTTGTTTATTGGAAAGGGAGGGGGAGGGAGAGGGGGAGAGGGGAAGTTTAGGAGAAGGGGCAGAGGGGGAGGTGGAGCTCTGTCTTCCATTTGCTGGTTCACTTCCCAATGACTGCGATAACCAGGTCTGGGTCAGGCTGAGCCAGGAGCCAGGAACTCCATCCAGGCCTTCCGCATGGGCGCAGGGGCCCAAGCACTTGGGTCCTCCTCTGCTGCTTTCCCAGGTGCATAGCAGGGAGCTGGAGTGGAAACGCTGGCGGTCTGAGAGGGGGTGCTTAGCCCACTGAGCCACAGGCCAGACCGTTCCACCAGGATGCCGAGAAACAGGATAAACGTTCAGATTTGACGTTCAGTGAAACCTTAAGGCTCCTGACGGAAGCGTGAATGAACAGGAAGTGGGAGGGGCCCCGGGGGCACGGAAGCTCTAGGAGACACCTGCTTTGGTTGGGACGACCAGAGCCACTGCAGGCACTGTAGTCGTTTGACCTGAAATCCGAGGGAGGGGATGCACACGTCCTTCCTAGGAGCCAAGGTGACAGCTTCTGTGAAGTCTCCCAGTTTGGGACCCAGCAGGTGGCTCTCGAACGGGTTCCAGGCTGCTTTGTGAAGTCTTCAGTGCGAACAGCAATGACACAGGTGACCCGGGCATCATTTCTAGTTTCTGGAATGCAGGGTGTTTACTCAGGGGCTAAGCATTTGGAAGTCCGAGCACAGCAGTGGAAGGGCCCAGAAGTAACTGCGGGTGGGCCTGGGTGGGGCGGGGCCCAGGCCCCGAGGGAGGGAGGGAGGGAGGGAGGGAGGGAGAGCGTGGCGGCCTCAGGCCTTCTCCCTCAGCCAGGTGGTTGCCATTTGGGCGGAATGGCTGTGTTTGCAGAGTTCTGCAGTGTCTGCCGCAGCCAGGGCCCCAGGCAGTGAGGATGGAGGAGACGGGCGCCACACCGCGGGTTTCCAGTCCCCCCTTATTGTTCCTTTGAACACAGATTTTCCCAGGGAGTATGCAATCCCTGATTCATTCCCAAGGGTGTCGGGGGCAAACCCCTTCCCTGGGAACCCGCGGAGATCTCGGAACCCTGTGATGAATGGGAGGCTGAGAGGGACGAGGCCGTGCACAAGGGGCCCCTGTGCCTGCACCTGCCGTGCGGGGGACCTGGGCGGGGGGCAGAAAACCAGGGCACCTGTAGATCTCACCTAGGGAGAGCCTCCCGGTGGAGGCCTAGCCAACCACACCCACCTGTGGGTGGGGCACGTGCACTGCAGGAGAAGCAGGGCCGCTCCTGTGTTTTCCCCTGGGATGCTGGCTGGAGCTGAGCTCTGACAGCCCCTGCTGAGGCTGGGGAGAGGAGCCTCAGGCTCGGGGTCTTTTCTCCCTGCCTGCCGAGGACGCTGGGGACTTGGACACCCAGTTCTTCAAAACTCTGACAGGAGGAAGGCCAGAGCACCATGAGCCGGGGTGGGGCTCACAGGTGCTGTCAGCACCGTGGCTCATCTCGACAAGCCAGTGAGCTGATTCCCTATCAGGAAAACCTGGGCGTTTAAGAGAGCAGCCGAAATGAGCCCCGAGAATTCAGGGGAATTCTGGGAGGCGCTAACCTCTGGCTCTGGGGTGGGGTGGGTTCCGTCAGCAGAGCCTGCTACCGGACAGCGGGCACAGCCGAGTGCGCTTCAGCTCCGGGCCCTGGAGTGCCTGCCACGCTTCTGTGTTTGTCGCCCGATCCTTGGGGATCAGGACATAGCTGTGGTCCCCGTGTGGGACACAGAACCTTGCACTGCAAGCATTACGGAAGGTTGCTTCCTTCTCAGCACTTCCGTGCGTTCATGCCTGGGTGTGACGAGCATCAAGCCTAACGTAGAAGGGAAAAAATGCTACAAAAAAAAGCAAAAAACGCCCTCAAAAGGAGCGGCTAAGCAGAGGTTGTGATTGTTTCTATGGGTGCACAAATGGGGCCGGGCGAGTCACGTGAAAACCTGGATTTGAGCACACCGGGTGCACACCACCGCCTCCTCTTACTCCAGAGCTGGGCTCCACTGAGGCTGCGAACTGCTGTCACCCCAGGTAACCCGTCGTTCTGTGTGTCCGCTGGCTAAGGTGTGCACTCTGCAGTGTGCAGCGCATGCTAGGTGACGGTGGTGCTTCCTTAAACTGCCAGAGGGAGATGGGGCTGGGCTCAGAGAGGAGGGGGAGCCACGGCCTGAGCTAAGACGCCAGAACCAGGGTTTGCAGAGCTGGAGCCTGAAACGTGGCTTCCCTGCGGAGGACTGCACTGCCCACGCGGCTGGCGAGGCGGCGAGGGCCCCACCGGAAGGCTTCTCCCGTTAAGGAAGAGTCCTATTCTCCTCGGCTTTCTCCAACACGCTCTTCGTGGAGGCCACGCTGCATACCCCTGCTCCTTCTCCTCTCCTCTCAGATCCCCAGGTGCGTATCTTACCGACTCAGGTCAGAGGGCCTGCCCGAGAAGCGGCGGTGTTTAGACTGTGTTCCTAACTCCTTGGGATGCACCAGTACAGTTTCACAGCGTGAGTGTCCCGGGCCGGGGGCAGCTCCCACGGACGCTCCGAGGTTGGTGGGTGCCGTGGGATTGGTAGGCACCACGGCCTTGTCTGTCTTACGTCTGTAACAGTGATTGTGCTGCCTGAGTGGCCAAAATGGGATTTACTGGGCAGTAACTGGTAGCATCTGGCCAGCAGCCTCTGGTCTGGTCTGGATGCGAGGCTTTTGCTTAGGGATAAGGGGAAGATACAGCGGGTGTTTGCAGGGCTGTTTCCCTCTGGCCTGCCTTCCTGTCTGGCTTCTCTGCGGGCTCCTGCTCAGCCTGGGCGGGGCGGAGCATGGAAGTTGCAGAAAGACGATCCCGGGGTGCCGTGGGTCCCTCGTCCCCATGACTCGGACGAGTGTTGCAGGGCTCACCCTGGTGAACAAAGCACGGCCGAGCCACCACGGCTTCAGGAGATACTGCGGCTCACAGGCGCCTGGAGGGACCTGGGGAGGGAACGGGGGCGAACCACGCACAGGGCTGCCTGTGCCTGTGCACCGGAGCCCGAGCCTTGAGAGCAGAGCCCACACCCCGTGGGGATGTCCAGGAGGGGACAGGGAAGCATTGGGGAGCTGCCTCCCGGGGGGCCTGGCGTTTTACAGAAGGCCCTGAATCGTTGCCTCGGAAGCCAGCCCCTTGCAGCTGTGTGTGTGGGGAGGGGAGTGTACGTGGCGCTCTCTCGTTGGAGGTTGTTGGGAATCCGACACAGACGTGGTCGACTTCTGGGCGTCAAGGCACACGGTTGTCCCTGAGCGCCATGGCTTTAGCTAGGATATCACTCTGGGTGGTGCATGGGCCCTTGGGGTCCTGTGGCCTGGCCTTTGTACTCTACAGTTGAGGAAACTTAACTCTCATGCCGACTGGGGTACAGACTCCCCCTCCTGTAAATCTGGTCCCATCACAGGCAAGGACAGCACGCCACTGGGGGCCTGCAGAGCTGGGCAGCTTCTCAGGTCACTGACAGCGGGGCGGGGGTGGGGGGCCCTTCCGAGACACTCGAGGCAGACGAAGTTCCAGAGTGACCGGGCGATGGCAGACCCGTAATCGGCTTTTCCTGTGGGACCTTAAGATTTCTTCCTCCACTTTGCTTCGCTCCGCAGGAATGAAATGAAGGCAGTGGGGAAGGGGTGTGTTTGAGGAGAGTCTTTGTTATGAGGGTTCCTCAAAAAGTTCATAGGAAAATGGAATTAAAAGGGGCTGGTGCTGTGGCGCGGTGGGTTAAGCTGCTGCCTGCAACGCAGCATCCTGCAAGTTCAAGTCCTGGCTGCTCCATGTCCCGTCCCGCTCCCTGCCAGTGTGCCATTGCAGCCAGTGGGGAGCGAGCCAGCAGATGGAAGATCTCTCTCTCCTCTCTAACTCTGCCTTTCAAATAGATAAAATAAATCTTTGAAAAGAAAATGGAATTAAAAGGTAAGTTTATTTTGGTGCATAAAAAATTTTCTGAAATCCACATAGTTCTTTTATAATATGTATTTTCCAAGAACTTTTTGAAGAGCCCTCATTTATTTATGCTTGAGAGAAAGAAGGTATCACTTTTTAATAAAAGCCGTATGTGTTTACCCAGTTGTGTTTTCATGTCTCCCGACTGCTCCCCAGAGGTGTTCACAGTCCTGCGCTGAGTGTGTGTGGTGACCAGGAGGGGTGGCCAGGTTACAGAGATGCTGTGCCTGTGAGGGGGTCAGCGCAGTTCCAGGGGAGGAGAGTTGGTCTCCGCAAGCCGCTCTGCCATCAAGGTCAGCTGAAGGTCATGTCGTCCTAGCAGGATCCGCCTGGCGGTGGTGGGATGCGTCACTCTGCCTGCTTTGCGTCAGCAGTGTGATCGGCCGTGCAGTGCAGTTACCGAAGCAGCGTCCATCCGCTTGGGGACTGCATCAGAGCGCAGATGCCGCGCCCGACGTTCCTGGTGAACGCCTGTCCTTGGATGCAGCCCTCCCTGCCCAGTCCTCTCCCGGGCCGATGGCGCGTCTGGTCGTCTCTGCCGCGTCCTCCTCTGCCCGCTCCTGCTGTTGACCCGACACCTGGTGCCCTCTGCGTGACTTCCCACCACACATGACAGTGGCTGGAGACCCCTTTCCCAGACGACCTCTCTCATGCACCCCGATCCACGCCTGTGACTGACGCCCCAACAGCCTGTCGGATCGCTGTATTCACACTGAATTCACGTGGCCCGCCCTCTGTCTGCTCCTAGTTTCACTAAGGGCTCCCTACCACCCAGGGTTAGAATGGGCATCGATGTTAACCCTGCCCCTCCCTTACACTGCAAATCCATTCAGTCCCCAAATGCTGTGACTTCTGTCCGTCACTCTGCAAACCTGTCTGCTCCCTTTCCGTTCCTGGGTCCTGCTTCGACCTGGCCTGCTCGGCTGGCTTCAGTCCGTGCCCCGGCACTCAGAGCATCAACGGTGGCGGCAGTCCTCTCTCCCCGGGCCTT